CTGTCCGAAAAATATTCACCGGTTATTCCCTTCACCTGAGGATGCAAAGCTACATAGCATGTAGTTGCTGCTCCCTAGAATCAATACAGAAGCATATATAAGGAAACAAACACTAAATCTTGCGACAAACAGTTATCGATCTTATATTTGTACCAAAACTACTCACCTGTGGAATGTTTTTAATAAAGTATTTTCCAATCCAGTTAACTAAACCTGCAAGAGGTCCAAAATAAAAAATTAACTAACATGAAATTTGCCAAGATTATAGGACTTCAAAACACTACATTTATATCATGTTGAGGTTCTAAACTTTGTATATGCCCTGCATGGTGTAACTTCTCGCAGTTATAGTGTATGGCACCCTAGAAGGATTTTAATATCGAAAATAGAGTTTTTATCGTACCAAATCCTTCATCAATTAATACAGTGAACGTTCATTTCTTGTTCCATTTCATATACCTATAAAGGGTACTTTCAGGAAATCTAATCTCGGGATAAAAAATTTTAAAGCCCATTGAAGGATACAAATTTCATGAGATGTCATTAAAACTATAAGAACCACTCTGGTGGAAGATTTTAAAATTTTACCTTCAACCAAACTCTGGTGACGGAGAAGATTGGTAGTAATTGATCCCGGGTGAAGTGAATTAGCAGTTATCTCCGCTCCTTCTTCCTGTGAAAGGTAAGACTAGTATTGTTAGATCTTATGCTTAGGTAGTCTTCAAAGATGCATTGCTTCTTTGAAGAGAATTCCTTTAGTTCCTACACTTCATTACCGAGATGATGATCTGAAAAGAAAAAACTTGCATATAATGGTGGAAAGTAAACTGTAGAGACGTACATTCCTCGTAAATTAAACAGTAATTCAACTTCGAAATTGTCACTAGATGAGAAGAACACTGGTCAGGGACATAAGATTAAGAATCTAAATTGTTGCAACAAAAATGTTTCCTCTGGATATTAAAATGTTCAACAAGTTACCAGTGGCAGAAATTAAGAGAAGTTTCAATACTCAGAAGACAATAGTGTACCTTGAAATGCCTTGCAAGTTCGTTAGCGTGTAAGATATTAGCAAGCTTTGACTGTCCATAAGCAAGTATTGCCGTATAACTGGAAATACACAAATAAACATTCTTGTCAAACCTCTTATGCAAAGAAAGCATCTACTGCCAGATCCTGAATATAATGTGTAAATATAACAACTGAGATATAAATTGAAGAAGAGTAAGCATATGAAGATGGCAACCATGAAATACCTATCTTTGTCATTGATTTTGTCGAAACGGATCCCTTCACGGTATGTAAATCGATGTCCCAATGATGAAACGTTAACAATCCTTCCTTCTTTATGGCTCGCTTGAGCTGTATTTTTCAGGTTTTGTAGCAAAAGATTTGTCAAAAGAAAATGACCTGCAAAAACATTACTATTCTTCTTATATTGGTGAAAGCAAGTGATACTTCAATCTGAAACCATCCTATTAGAGCAGAACAATCCCAATAGAAGAAAACACACAACTGTCGAGATCAGACTAGCTGACTTGGTACTTGTAGTTGCACTTCAGTTTTGACATCAGATGAAAAACACAATGGGATTTAAGATACAACCATCTATTTCAACCTATCTTGCTCGGAATCTTCATAAATCCTGTCTGCTACGAGTCGGATCTTCCAAAAGTTGTATATTTTTGGAGGATACGACACAGGTGCAGCAAAAATTTTTGAGACTCCGAGCAACATAGATTACAACATAACATCTAGATCACACAGTTTGCAAGTCCAACTTTTGGCTTCTTAAAAACCAATTGGCAAATTACAGCGGATAAAAGGAAAACCATATTTTTTAAGAAAAAAGGAAAGAAAACAAGTGGACTCTAATACAGAAACAAGTAAAGATTGATGTAAAGATCTTCTATAAGAAAATATACCCTCTGACCATTATACCATTTTCATAGAATGATAGCAAAACAAAGTGATAAAATGCCAAATCCCGAGAAAGGGGAGTACTTGTATTCTACAATGTCAATGAATGGCTAAGTGTGGTGCAAATTCTTGATGAAGGATGTGAACACTCTCCCCATAACTACGATATCTTAAACAAACACAAAAAATTAAACTCATTTACCTAAATGATTAGTTGCAAACTGTAATTCAATGTTGTCTTGAGAAAGCATGAACGGTGGAGCCATAACCCCTGCATTGTTGCTTCAAAAATAAAAAAGTCATTTAGTATCTTAATATTCACGCATTGAGGGAAGAGCGAACAGGACATTCGTTCCGAGCAATACCAATGAACCAAAATGAATGCAAAATCTAATCATGACTCTGTATTGAACCCGTGAAACAGTTAAAAGGAATGTTTTCTTACATTAGGATGTTCAGAGGATAACCAGTAGAGTTATATTCTGATGCAAACTTCCTAACGGATTCCATGGAACCGAGATCCAGCTCCATTACATCAAGTTTGGCCCGGGGGATATCTTTAAGAATACTTTCTTTAACTTCTTCGCCACTTTTTACATTGCGAACTGCCATTACTACATGTGCGCCTCGCATTGCAAGGACACGCGTTGTTTCTGCACCAATACCACTAGACGCTCCTGGAAATTTACTCAACATGGAAATGAGAATTTCAAGTAAAAACACAATTGAAACTATCACTTTTTCACGAGCTTTCACACTCCAACTCTTGGTTATTCACCATCCATGTATTAATTAAACACACTAAAAGGTGACTAGGCCAAGTATCCATCGTTCCCTTTTCCTCCTAAAACTATCGCAGTCTATTCAACTAGGTGTGTTTTAATACTTACACTATGATATTTTAGCTAGAAAAAAGTACTAACAACTACTTTAAAGTAGGGAAAAAAAGACAAATATACCCTCTAAACTATCGTAAATGGTATATAAATACCCTCCGTCATACTTTTGGGACATTGATGCCCCTGCTATCCAAAAACTAGAGTATATATACCCTTCACTCTAATGGAAGACTAAATAGGGACACGTGGCATGACAGAGGGTACATACTATTTATGATAGTTCGAGGTATATTTGTATTTTTCCCATTAAAGTATGAAACTTGCCAAAAACTGATACTTTTAGTGTGTTTTGGTCAAAAACATTTTGACCATGATCTCTAAAAATAATTATAAACAGGAGAAGATATAGTCAATTGAATGACCCCCACCCCCAAAAAATTACCAACAACTCAGTGAAAAAATTGGGAGAAAGGGTTACTAAACATAATTTTAAAAAATGAGTTCAAAAAAAGAAAAGTTTGGACCTGTAACAATGGCAGTAAGTCCAGTAGCATCAATTCCTTGAGTAACTTCTTCAGCTGTAGATGAAGCAGAGAAACCAGATGCTCCTTTTAATCCAAATAACCACATAATTGATTTGTAGATCAAAACAACAGTGTAATATTTATTTTTTCTATAATGAAAAATGACTCAATTTGAGGAGTATATATTAGGTTTTATGTTTGTAAAGAGTAGAGACAATTTTATTTTCTTGGATTTGATAAAACCAATGAGTAATATTTTACACTTGCAACAAGAAAGGGAAAAAAGAGCCAACGCAATGATCCACTAATTTTTTATTTCTTTCTACAGTGGAGTACACGTTAAAGAAACACTAACATTAGTAACCCTATCGTCCGATCTAATTGATTGAGCAGGTGAAAAATTTACGATGATAATTTCTTTTATTTTTAACTTTGCTGATCTAGATTACTTGAAAGGCCTTTCTTTTTTTCCTTTTACTCCCCAAAAAATAAAATCAAAATGTGGCCCGTGTTTTAATACAAATTATTAATGATATTTCTTTATTCTTAACAAAATTTTTGAAGTTTGTATATTAACCAATGGGATTCGAATTAATTAAGAAATCAAATTCAAAAATACTTTGAATGGTAAAATCAAATAAAGAAAGATATATTATCATCATCTTTGAAATAATTACTAGCTAACTAGAAGACCATCTTTATTTTTCATATACTTAGACTACTATTTTATGTGTTCATGTTATCTTTTATTAATATAGATATGTTATGATTTCATATTCTTCTATTACCAAAACATTGAACAAACCCTCAGGGGTTGGCCTGCTGGCAATTGACTTGAGCCTTGGGGTTTGCTCCCTTTCAAGGTCTCAAGTTCGAAACCCACTAGGTGCAAACAATTTCTGAGGGCCATCGGACTGGGTAAAACCTGAATTAACCGTGGTGCACTTGCGGGAAACTCCTTGCCGAGGGCCTGTGCACCCCCGGGATTAGTCGGGGCTCAAAGAGACTCGGACACCCGGTGCAAATCAAAAAAAAAAAAAAAAAAACATTGAACAAGACTTCTATGCCTAGTTAGTGAAAAAATCAATAAGTAATAACCGCTTTGTATCTGTTATCTTTTTTTAACACTTTCAATAACCATTTAATGAAACTCATAATTTTCAGCAGCTACACCTCACCCTAGAAGTGCAATTATATTAGCTATTTGATCATTGTCTACTTGGCTAGCTCTACCTATTACCTACCCCATCTAGGGGTTGGGTAGGGTGGGGTGGGGGTGAAAGAGTAGTATTAAAACTCTCGTATCAATTTGTTTGTCTTGTATTTCTTTCTAGCCTGTATCTAAAGACACCGTCAAAACTCCGTACAAAGTCTAAACCAGATAAACAAATTGAGACAGAGGGGGTATAAAGATAAATATAAAGAACCTTCATTGATAAGGTACATTACATTATCATAACCTGATGAGATTTACACACATAATAGAACATCTTAACATAAGGAAAAGATCCACATTACAAATACAAAAAGAAGAAAAAGGCATAGCTCTTGAGTCTTGAGAATCCATTGTTTAAACATAAGACTTGCGGAATGGCATAGCTCTGATAATTATCTGGTGATAAACAGCAGCAAGCATAGCTCCAATAATTGGTCCAACCCAAAAAATCCACTGTTCAAAAAAAAAAAAAAAAAACCTCTTGTTAAATTAAGCTCCTTTTTTTGGTTTAAGTAATCGTGGTGTTCGAGTTAGTTTGAAAGAATGAAAGATGTTTTTCTTACGTGGTCATTCCATGCGTGCTTGTCGTTGAAGATGATAGCAGCTCCTAGACTCCTGGCGGGGTTGATGCCAGTTCCGGTGATGGGGATGGTGGCCAAATGAACCAAGAACACCGCGAATCCAATGGGAAGTGGTGCCAAAATCTAAAATAAACATGCATATTTTCAGAATGATGTCTTCAAGAATTTAACTTATATATACTAACAGTTGTAGTGAGGCCAATAATTTTGTCAACATGTATAAAGTTGTGTATATGCTACATATAATTTTGTCTAACCCTTTTTGCCTCAAATCCATTTTGGTATAAAATGTAATGAATAGAAGTTGATTACCCTAAAATGGTGTTGACACCATCTTAGTGTATTCAATACGCTACACTAACTTTTTATATTCTTCTCTCTTTTCAATATTAAATTATTATCTTTATTTCATATTTTTATTCTCATATAATCAATCATTCAATATAAAATTCGCAATGACGAATAATGTCCACACACTACAATAGTGTGAAATTTAGTGTTGGATTGAATTTGGTGTTTTACATCTCCACTCCATCACAGTATGTGAATAGTATCACATCAAATTTCTCGATTAAATTATTTTTATTATATTATTACCTAATTATTTTTCATATAATATTATATCAAATAATCAGTGTAGCGCATTGGGCACACGATTTTAGTATAAAATTTGGTGTTATGGATTGGAGACGGACCACAACATTCTGACATGGTGAATCACTCCATTACAAAAAAAGGCCACAGTTACAGTAACTTATCACATGAACGCTATCGTTAGCCTAACTCAATTAGGTCCACAACATTAACCCTACACCAACTAAAAGGACTTGCTGACAAAACCAGACATGCCACATGCTAGCATGACCAATATTTTTGCCAAACTTACCAAAAAGTAAGACCACTTGTCTTACAAGAATTCAACTTTTAACATACATTAAACAGTATAATGAACTTTTTTACCCTACTAGGGTAATTTAACATGTTATAGCAAAGTTGGTTCTTTAATACACTCCCCGTTCACTTTTACTTGTAACATTTCGCTTCTTGTCAATGTTCAAGTGTTGGAATATAGTCACCTATATCTATTGGTCATAGCAAGTTGGTTGTTTAATACCCCTCCATTCACTTCTACTTTATCACGTTTCACTTCTCGTCAAACTATGTAATGTAAAGTCACCTATATCTTGACAATTTTTCAAAAATTGCTTCCAAAATCTATGGACAGACGCTAGCTTAGAACTACCATGTAAGTGTCCATGATAAGCATTCTTGGTATCACAAAGAAGCAATGAAACTACAAGAGGAAACACTTACAGGAACATGTGAGTCTCTGGCATTTCTTTTGGCATCAGTGGCTGAGAAAACAGTGTAAACAAGGACAAAGGTGCCAATAATCTCAGCACCAAGGCCTGATCCTTTGGTGTATCCAGGGTTAACAACATTAGCACCACCACCAAGTCTTTGGTATGGTCCTACCATGAAGCCCTTCACAACACCAGCACCACAGATTGCACCAAGGCACTGCATCACTATGTAGAAAATAGACCTGGTCAAAGACAATTTCCTTGCCAAGAAAAGACCCAAGGTCACAGCTGGGTTGATGTGTCCTCCTGTTTGATATCAAAACACACAGAATTTAGCATTAGAGAAAAACAAGCAAACCCAAATTCAAAGAAGGAAAAGACTCATTTTTCAAAAAATTTAACATGCTTTGAACTTCAAAACAGGAAAAAACTAAACCTTTATGTGAAGTATACTCAAGATCCTGTTAAATTAGTTGAAAAAAGTATGGTGGTACAAAACAAGTAACTAAAAGCTCAAACATGGTGATCAAAAGCATGCAAAAAAAAGAAAAGAAATAAGCAACAAAGGGTATTAATACTTTCAGTATAAAAAAGGTATAGGAACAAGCTTCAGCAAAGAATGGAAGGGAAAACTCCCTTTTAGTGAAATTTAGACAGAAAGTAAACCAGTAACATGTTTTGAACCTCTACAGCAGGGAAGGTTAAGTATTCATAAAATTAGTTGATAAAAGTATTCAGATACAAAATAGGTACACAAAAGCTCAAACATACAGAGCAAAAGAAAGGAAAATAAAGAATCAACTCAAAAAAAAGTCATATTTTTACAGTATAAAGGTAAAGGAACAAGCTTCACCAAACTCCATTTTTGTACCTCAGACACATAACTCAAACCAGTAATATGTTTTGGACCTCTAAAACTCAAGATCAAGAATCCATTAAAGTAGTTGACAAATATACACAATAAGTGAACACAAGCTCAAATATCATGATTCATGAGCAAAAGAAGGGAAAATAAAGGGAATCAACTAAAAACAATAAGACAGAAAATAAACCAGTTAACATGTTTCAAACCTCTAAACCAGTGAAAAAAATCAAATCTTTATCTTCTAAATACTCAACAATCCACAAAACCAGTTGACAAAAGCAATCAGTAGACAATAAATAACACAAACTCAAAAGAAAGGTCATACTTTTAAGTAAAACAAGTAAAGATACAATCTTTAGCATCAAGAATGAAAAGGGGCAACAAAACCAACCTGAGATACCAGCAGTACAGTAGACCAAAGCAAAGATCATACCACCAAAAGCCCAAGCAACCCCTTGAATACCCACTGAAGAACATAAACTATCAGATCTCTTAAGACCCATAACAGTCAAGATTGTGATATACAAGAACAAGAAAGTTGCCATGAACTCTGCAATACCAGCCCTGTAAAAGGACCATGATGACAACTCCCCTGGTTCAAACAATGGAGCTGGTGGTGGCTCTTTGTAATCTTTGTCTGTTTGAGCTGATGTACCTAATGGTTGAGTTTCCCTAAACTTGTTAGCTCCAAGCTTAACATCTTCTTCCTTGTTTTCTGCCATTTTCTCACAAAAGATTGAAACTTTTTTTTTTTTGCTTTCTTTGTGCTGAGTAATCAGTTCAAGAACCAAGTTTGGTACTGAGAATAGATAGGGTTGTGGTTGTTTTATAGTGGAGAAATCATTTATAATACAAATAAATTAAACTAAAATGTGGGGATAAACCTATTAAATTGGTCTGATTAATTATTGGGTTGGTCTAATCTATTTTTTTCCTTCCTCTATTACGACAATAACATATTCAATGTATTTTTATAAATTAGGATTCATATTCGATGTAGGGTAGAGTATATATAGTTTTCACTTCTGTTTCAAAGATAGGAGATTATATTTGAAATTCTCAATTTTTAAAAAAATAATCTTAAACTTGGGTCGATAGAGGATAAAAAACATGCAGATTTCAGTTCTATCTTAGAGATAAAAAACTATTTTCGATAGACACTCGACTTAAAAAGAACATTTTTTATTTATTTATCAAGGATAAAGGAATGAAAAATAGGAAAGGAATTACAAGGTAGGAATCGAATCTTCGTTAATAAAGTGAAAGTTTAAGTAGTCAACTAAATTACTAAGGTTTTTGAAAATCACCGTCCAAAGCAATTCAGATAAGAAGTAACGAATGTATAAAAGATACTCCCTCCGTCCCATTTTATGTAGCAACATTTGATCGGGCACGGAGTTTAAGAAATAAATGAAGACTTTGAAATGTTTACCAAATTGTCCTTTAAAAAGTAGATTCACTTTTCTCTCCTCATAAATGTATTGAAGTATTATTTTAAAATTAAGTGGGACCAACAAGGATAAAAGAAGAATTGTACATTTAAATACTTATCATATTAGGAAATGTGATATTCTTTTTTAAACTGACCAAAAAAAAAATGGTGCCACATAAAATGAGACGGAAGGATTAACAAATAGTAAAACACAACAGATAAAAATAAATATTATTACTACAAAAATAATACTATAGAAACATAAATCGAAGAACGAGAAACTACTTAATTAGTATATTAGTTTTTAAAATATGATAAAAGAGAAGAGTGTTCTGGAAAGGGCAAGAGGTGGAGAAGATGTTGACAGATTATTTGTATGGTTTATTTGTTATTCTTATCTTCTACAGAGTGTCAGTGTTAATTATTATTATTTGAAAACAATTTAAACTTGATTAGCTGGTCCAGACCAACTTATATTCACCTAATCTCTGAAATAGTTGTAACAATGTGGGCAGCTAAGCAAAATTTAAAAATTGTTAGCCATAATGGAGTGAAACCCTCTTAATATTATGTATTTATTATTGCCACAAAACATGAAATAAATTAACGTACAAAGCATTTTACATTCACATAGTTTACTTTTCACAACTTCAAACCTTATATTTTTACACGTCTTGAATTTTAGGACTTACGTCATATGCAGTGGCGGAGTTATAAATTTTATTAAGGATGTCCAAAAATAATGGTGTGTGGCTGTCAAAATAAAATAAATAAAATATTATATTGTGATATTTGGAGTTCGAACCCGAAACTCTATCATTGAAATGGACAACAATTACCACTACGCCAAAGGCATAGCTTTTGTTAAAGGTGTCCAACTTTAAATATATATATATATCTTTTAAATGTATAATTTGACATATATATACAGCGTAATTTTCCGACGAATGGTGTCCAATTGGACACCCTGGGATGGCTATGGCTATGCCACTGGCACTATGGATCTGCGTTTTCCATTTGCGTCCGATGCGTTTTTGGTGCGCTCTGTCCTGAAACTCGCCCTAAAAAACGTTTTTGAAAACACTGCTTCAAACCATTACTACATGGATTAAGCTACTATAGCATGAAAATAAGGAGATTAGAACTAAACTGGTCTACTTCAAATTATGATAAGAGACATACGTTATTGTATAAAATAAAATAAAAATTAGAAATACTATTATAAGACATGGTTCGAAACTTCGTGAATAATCAAATTGCTACTCGTATAGTGCAAACTTTGAGAATCATGCTTATGTACATTATGTTGTTCGAGTTTAAATTCACACATCACGTGTTGCGTGTTTTAATTTTTCCTTGGTGATATGAAGCTAATCGAGTGGCTAAAAATATGTAGCCGTTTTATTCGTAAAAAAATAATTTTTATGTGACCGTTGTGGAAAGTGACAGCACATTTGAATAAGCACATGGGCTAAGGCCCAACGGCTAAGATGGGCTGAGATTAATGGGCCATCATCAATCAATGTCATTCCTTGCTGTGACATCAAATTGGGGCCCATCTATTTGAAATTGTTGTCAATATGCTTTGCACATAAATAAATAAAAAAGAAAAAAAAAAGATGAATATTATGGAAGTGCTTATCCAAATGACAAGACTAACTACCCATAAACTAATCACTCAATTTATTTCTATTAATGGTTTGTTTTCTTTCTTTTTATTTCTAAAAAAAAACTTTTTTTAGTTGAAGAGATGGAAATGTGAATATGATATGTGTAAATATTCTGTCAATTGATAGGTTGAAAGATGGAATCGTTTGTGAGTAAATTGTAAATAAAATGTCATTTATTTGTTAAATTTTTCATGTCTTGATTTTGGTTAGACGTTAATTTTTTTTAAAAAAAATAAGATTTTAGAATTAAAATGTGTATATTGTATTTAAATGTTTTTAAAATTTTATGTGTCGTAAATATGCAATATGAAATATTAAGATTAAATAAGTAAGAAAATATTAAAATGTGTACTTTCTTAAAAATGTAAAAAAAATAAGACAGATAAATTGAAACAACACATTGGAGTGTAGAAAGTGAAAGTGTGTGAGGTAGGAATTGCTAAGAAAATAAATGCATCAAGTCATTCCCTTCAAAATTATGATAATGTATTGGCCAAAATCACAAGAAATAGCCCACACTTCTTTTTAGAAGTTACTATATGGTCCATATTTATTATATTCTACCAAAAAAAAACATTTGTGACACATTGTGGGGCAATTCTATTTGTCTTTTTTTATTTTCTTTTTTTTTTGCCAATTTTTTTATGAAAGAGGGTGTTGGATTTAACTTTATATATGTTGCTCACACAAAAAGAGAAGTGCACATCATGGTCTAATACAACTCATACTTATAAGATGATTAATTGGCATTGTGTCCTACTCACATGCATTTTCAAGCCTTTATATCATCTTTTATGTCTTGCCCTAGCCATTATCTTGCATATTTTTGGGTCAATCAAATATTCTCTTTTGATTTTCTCTTATATCAATGCCTCCCAAAACAAACAAACAAAAAAAAGTAGAATTTTTTTATTAGACAGTAATAAAATAAAATGTAATTTTATGAAAGTTAGGTGTAGGGTTTTTCAAATAATATTTCTCATTCACTTGTTTATACTACTTTTATGTATTATTATATATAGTAACTTTTTTTTTTCTCTTTGAATGCTTTTTAATGTTTTGGTGTGAATCTCATTCACTTGTATATACTACTTTATCTTATATTTTTATATAAAATGTAACTCTCTTTTTTTCTCTTGGAGTTCTTTTTAATGTTTTGGTGTGAGGTAATTGTGGAAGAGAAAAGGTAAAGTAAAGAATTTTTAATGAATAAGAATTCTCTAGCTAGTTCGAGTTTTGAGAATTAAAAAAAATTATTGAACACTTTATTCTCTTAGTAAGTTTATCTGGCACGAATTCAAATTAAAGAAATCAATGAATTTCAAATACCAGATAAATTAAACAAGAAAAGTAAAACTATTAGACTTCAACTCTAATGTATAATTGGCCAAAAGACAAAATGCAATATATTTTAAATTTGTAGACATATAATAAGCCGTCCAAACCATATAATTTTGCCACGTGTCATCAAAAAACGTCACAAATATAATACTAGTAAATATTATTTCTACTATGATGGGTCAGCATAGCCGCCTAAACAAACCGACCCATTTATTTTCATAAATTTGTGGTCCAATTTTATTAACAACAAAATAATTGAAAAAAGAAACCATATTATAATGTCAATGCTAAAGACGTGGCTTATTTGAATTTGGTGCTTTGATAAGACTACAATATACCTTTTTTAAAAAAAAAAAGAAATTTGAAAATTTGCCAATAAATTTTGTCATTAATCTGTTGTTAAATTTCTCGTAACAAACAAGTTTTTTTCAATAATTCATTGCTAAATAGAATTAGCAACAATTTTTTTTGTTTGGTTACAAAAATTGTCTACGTATTATGAAAATATTTTTCTAGAATCGTGTATCTGTTAGAAACAGTCTATCTATTTTATAAAAATATGAGCGAGATCTACGTAAAAAAAAATCTACATACATACTAGATTTGATGTTGTTGTTAGCGTAGAATTTATCAATAGTTGATTTTTATTTTTGTAGTAGTGATGGAAAAGGCAAAATGAAATGGCAAAATACATATATGTTTAATTTGTGAGATGTAATTAATTATGTTGAAGATAAGGTAATATGAGCATCGTTTTTGGGGGTATAATATATAATATTTACTTGCCAACACTTAGGGTGTATATAATATTAATTCATGTCTCAATCAATATTAAATAAAAACGAGTTTGTGACTTCATTTTTTTGGTATCTATAAATAGAAAAAAAGTCGTGCTAATAATTGTGCAATATTATTCTCATATGGGGTACTTATCATGTTAGGTATTATTAATATATTCCATATATTTTTGGTCCTATTTGATTATTGAAGCAACCTTAAGAAAATGAAATATGCACCGCCCATATGTAACATTTATGCTATTATAATTTAATTCATATACTATGGGATAATCTAAAAAAAATAAATTTCTATCAACAATTTTTTTTACAACAGTAATATTCAAACTAACTTACATGCAACTTAACTATTCATCTATATATATTTATTAAAATTTTAAGTTAAGATGCATTATTTTTCGAAACCTTGGAATGCGATCCTTCCCAAACCTTGTGTGAACGCAAAATATTTGTGCACGCAGATAGCGATCATTTGGGTAAAAACTTGTATTCGTTTATATCAAACCAATGAATGCAAAACATGTATCTTTCATTTCGTGAAGTGATGTATTCACACTTGAATTTGTAGCTGCTCAAGTCAAATGGTTTTGATTTTGTGTAAACACTGCCATACTCAAAACACACGTGAGCAGACTCTTGCAGAAATTCAGGATAAAACCACGTACAATAG